TACACCCGGTGAAAAAAGGATGAAAACTCTTACCTCGTTCACATATAAAGGTATATTTTTCTGTACAAGCAGACGTGGATAATTGTCCTCTTCTTGCATTTAATCCTGTGCACCTGCTTATCCTACCCTGTTGGTATTGGTGCATTGAAGAACTGTGGGTGAGGTGATTCCACAAAGGGGATCCAACCCAAACGGTCAAAGGATTAGGGAGGGGTGCCGGGAAGGAACGCCTGGATAGAACACTCATAAAGCGCAGAGTATCATCATCTGAATCGCGTGAGACTCTAGCCAGCCGTGCAGAGGAGTCAGTGCAGTAAGAGGATGCTCCTCCCCACTCAAGTTCCACGGCATAGGAGGAGTGCATGAAACACGAGTTTTTGTAGAAACTCCAGCCGTTGGCACAAGATAGTTTTCCTGGCTCTTTTGAAAGAAGATAACAGACTTACTGTGAAACTTAGTAAACGATGAAATCGGATGTTATTACGTTCCAAGGGAAAAGCCAATTAGGCGCGACAAGCGACAGCGGTAATTAGTTTGTGGTTTTGAAGCTTCCACGCTTTATCTTGATTGGTCAGCAAGCAACTGACTTGTCATTATCGAGAAAGCGGTTCACAGTTTTCTGAGTCACACAATAACGACCTAGTCTCGGACTGTCAAGCGACACTCCGGTCAAGAGGTGGAGCGTTGCGTGACTTCCTAGAGCCTTGTCCCATTCAACCCTCACGGAGTTCGCAAAAATCCCCCGTGCCAATGAGAACTTGCACGTACGCTAGAGATCATACACCCAGATATATGCCCAATGTTTCGACGTGAGCTAGTACGCTTATCAAATATTTTTTTTAATTCGATTACCTGGCCAGGTCTAGGCCAGAATTAAAACAACTGCCACTTATGCCTGCATACAAGTTGCAATCTCCTTAAATTCGCAGCTGTTTACTGAAATGTCGCGCGACTTTACTTCTAAAGTGAGTTTGGGGCCGAAGAGCGTTGCGTGACGTCCCAAAGAACGATTGCAAAGATTGATAGAAATGGTGAATGCAAATTGTTCGCACGCAGTTCGCACTGCGCAAAGCGAATTGTTTCTGTTCCCCCGGCCTCTCCTTTTTGTGCTTACGTGCGCTTGTTAACTGGTCACTGCCTACTTTCCTTTCAAGATGAATTTATTTCGTACCAAATAGTGGGGTCGAAACGTCAGCCTCTAACAAACTCTTTACGGAATCAACTTAGTTGGTAATACCAAGTTACTTTCTTATACCTTCCCACGGACACAGCACCACAGTTCCTTTAGAAACTTACCCCCATCAAATATTGAGTGTCCTTTTTTGTTCTTATATCATATAACTGAGGCCTTGTTAGGTGTAATCAGGATACGTAATATCTGGGTAAAACATTAACGGGATACGGGATA